CTGCAAAATAGGTATGCAGTTGAAGAGGACAGAGAAGATTAGGGAAGTTGGGCAAAGCCGTTGGGGAAGGAGGTGTGAAGGAAGTGAATGGGAGACTCGTGAAATAAGTCCTTCGGGGTCTCAGTGAGGTTTAACATCCAAATTCACAAAGTTATTGGGGTAGTTGATCTAAAAGAAAATTGTATGGAAACTGGAGGGGTCTTATAAAGATATTGAGGGCCTGACAATTATGAAGCAAATTGTCAAAGCCCACTACTGGCAGTTTGTTAATTTTGAAGGGGCCAGAAAAAGAAAGTGTTAACAGTGAAATGTGTCACTCCAATATCTATGATATTGTGATTGGGTGCCAATCACATGATTGTGAAATGTGATTGTGAAATAATCACATGATTGGGTGCCATTCAACTCATAAGGGTAACATCATCTTGTGAATTTAGCGGGAATTAAGGGCATGGAATGTCTGCTTTCTCAGAGCTGAGTTAGTATTTCTCCTGTGAAGAGGGTTTTGAGTTCTTTTCTTTCCATCTGAAGACTGGACATTCCCAAACTCAATAGAGTTTTTCTTTGCAATACCAGCAAGCACCCTGGTCAGTGGAGGCCCCTATTGTGGGGTTTTGTCTTCATTTAACTTTTTCTAATTGCTTCAATAAATAAAGTCATATGATTTGATTATGCATTTTCTGCTTTTTAAGAATTGTTGCCCTCATAGTGCTAGGCTAATATCTGAAGTTCAGACATCTTAGTATTTTAACAATAGCCATTTTTTGAGGGGGTAATGTCATGAAGCGTGAGTCTTAGTTCATTCAGATAGCTGTGAGTAGAGCCAAGGCTGCTTGGTAACTGAGTTCAAGTCCTGAATGCTCTTTCTAAGTAATGTCTAATTGCTGATTATAATTTGTCAGTTTCTCCTTTAGTTGTTTGCAAGTTTGGATACATGACCAATCAATTTTAACAGGATAAAACTCAGATTGTCTACTAATGATTTTTCTTTGGCTTTTTTACCCCCTGACTGGACTCTGTAGTGGTTTGAGATCTCTTAAGGTTTTCCAAGATAGTAGTTCCTTTAGCTTTCCAAAACTAAAGAAAGACATCTCCACAAATAAGTGGATAAGTTGATATAAGTTGGAGGATCTCAGAGAGTAAGCACCCAACAACTCCTGAATTGTTAAATAAATTTCTCCCTTTACTTTGGGGACTTGGTGGATTTTAGTTGTGAAATTCAATCGAAGACCAAGGTTTAAATGTTACTTTCTATGTTCGGTTTTGATTGTGAGTAAGTGGTGGGAGTGTCTTGAGCATCATCTACAGAAGGTGGAGATTCAATACTTTTATCTCAGAGGTTAACTGAAAGGCAGAAGAGCATTTTAAGAGCAGAAGGTAAAGGAACAGTGGAGAGGGGAATATGGAGACACTGGAGGATGGAGTGTAGACGACAGTGTTTTGGGAAGGCCAAGAAGGGTCTCAGGTCTGAATGAAAGATCTTGGAATCTTTTTATTACTGGGATTCTCTAAGTTAAAAGTAGTCAGCAGGGATTCAAGATGGGGGTGTGAACTGAGAAGCTCTCACGCTTTAGATCATTGATGTCTGAATTTCTAATGCAGTTTCAAGATTATACACAGACTGTTAAGAATAAAAAATCTATCCTTACTGTGCTATCATCTGAAGCACTGAGATAGGAGTTGAGCTCAGTAACTGATCTGTAATCAATCAGTCAGGAATGAAGAAAAAATTTTATTAATGGGTATACAACTGAAGTCCTAGGTGAAAGTCCTGCAGAGTACAATGGTGAATCTGATGCAGCAATAGACTGTAATAGAAACAGTACACTAACACTTCTTAAAATGGCAAGGAAGTCTTCCCTCCAGATTTTTGCAAAAGGGGTCAAAGCTGTTGCAATAAAGAAGAAATATTGAGCTCTGATACAAATATAGTAAAGTCAGTTGGGAATATATAGCTGACAAGCAGAGTTAGAGGGTCAGTGGATGAAAAATTACTGAAGGTGGCACAGTGGTAAAGACTCTGCCCGCCAACACAGGAGATGAAGGGAATGTGGGTTTGATCCCTGGGTTGGGAATATCCCCTGGAGTAGGAAATGGCAAATTCACTTCAGTGTTCTTGCCTGGGAAATTCCGTGAACAGAGGAGCCTGGTGGGCTACAGTCCATGGGGTCACAAAGAGTTAGACACGACTCAGCACGAAGATTGGAGAAGGAAATGACAACCCACTCCAGTATTCTTGCCTGGAGAATCCCAGGGACAGGGGAGCCCTGGTGGGCTGCCGTCTATGGGGTCGCACAGAGTTGGACACGACTGAAGTGACTTAGCAGCAGCAGCAGCATGAAGACAGGCAGATAAGGATAAGGAAATTCTTGCTAAACTGGCTTAATAGGACTCCTGCTAAAGACAGACCAACGGCTTAGATACTGAGTCTTAGTAAGTTCAGGTGCTATAATAAAAATACTATAGACCAGGTGGTTTAAACAACAGAAATTACTTTTAAATAGTTCTATAGACTGGGAAGTACAGGATCAATGTGCTAGTGGATCTTGTCTCTGGTGGTTTGTAGATAACTGTTTTCTTATTGTATCTTCATGTGGCAGAGAGCAGAGAGAGATCCTATGTTTCATTATCTTTTTATTAGGACTGAAGTCCGTTCATGAAGGTTCTACTTTATGATCTAATTATTTTCAAAAAGCCCCATTTCCAAATACTATCACATTAGGAATTTTGGCTTTAACATATGAATTTTGGGGGAACACAAACATGATGTCCATAGCATTCTATCACTGGCCCCACCAAATGGATGTCCTTTACATATGCAAAATACATTCACTTTATCCTGATAGGCACAAAATTAAAATTCTTAGTACATTCCAGCACCAGCTCTAAAACGTAATGTCCAAAGTCTCACATAAGTATCTTCTATATCAGATATGGATGAGGCTAGCAGTAGGAATCATCCTGGGGCAAAATTCTCCAGCTGCGAACCCATGAACCCAGACTAGTTGCATGCTTCCAAGATACAATGGTGGGGCACAGAAAAATAGTATAACGATATACAATCCATCCCCACAGGGAAAATTAGGAGAGAAAGGAGAAAGGTGTGAGGGTCCTAAGCAAGTCTAAATTCTTAGCAAGGCAAGCTCTATTGGATCTTAAGGCAGGACAATAATCCTCTTTTTTTTTCAATGCACTGCCTTCTATATTTATTGGGGCAGAATTCTGCCCCAGGACTCACTGAGTCATTGGCCCTGCCTCCACAGTTTTGCCTGGTGGGGGTTGTGTGGGTGAGGCTCTCCCTGGCAGGAGTCATGTGCCTGTGGCTCTGTGGGGTGGAGGTCATATGCCACAGATTCTCTGCTGGGCATTTTCCTTTCCCCTTGAAATAAAAATAAAGGCATTCTCGTACTCCTAAACGACATGTCCATGAACTCTGTGCCTATGGTGGGAGTGGCAGCCCTGATGATCTCTGAATTGTATTTCGGGTTCTTCTTCCATTGTCTTGAAGAAGAGTGCTTATTAGCTGACAAAGAGCTCTATGGTCCAGTTCTCTTGAATCTAAGAAGTCCAACAGTCTTTCTTCATTTTATCCCACTTTGTCTGTTTCCTGTAGTTCCAGCTGGCAGTGTTTCTGTGGGTATAGTCCCATCTCTGTTCTTGCCTTGTGTTGAGATGGCTGATTAAATTCATGCTTCACACCATACTGATTTCCTTATCAAATGGTCCTGCCACCACAACTTGACTGGGCTCTTCTGACTATACTTCCTTATTTGTTATAATGTGGTCAGCCTGAGTGAGAGTTTTCAAAATCTTTACATTCTGGTTCCTCTTTCCTTAACATTTACAACTTCATTATTGTGCTCGCTTTGGCAGCACATATACTACAACTTCATTATTTTCTGTCTTCTCACATTTCAGTATAAGCAGTTAGGAGGAACACTTTTCTTAGAAATTTTCTCTCTCTCTCAACACTTTTCTTAGAAATCTCCTCAACTAAATTTCTAGTTTCAACTATTTTCTACCAAATAGTAGAACATGAAGAAATTGGGGCAGGTTCTTTGTCACTTTATAAAAAGAATTATCCTTCCTTCAGCTTAAAAAAACACATTCCTCAGTTCCATCTGAGTTCTCACCAGAATCACCCTTCTAGTTCTCTTCATGGCAGTATAGGCTTTTTCTTGCATCTTCTTCAAAACTCTTTCAGCCTCTAGCCATTACCTAGTTCCAAAGCTGCTTCCACATTTTAAGGTGTTTGTTAAACTTTAGCACCTCAGTTGTTGATACCAAATTCTGTCTTGGAAGGATACAAATATTTAGTCCATAACATCAAGAGTGGGTGATGAGGAATTTAATCATAAATCAAGGGTGGGGGAATCTCAATAAACTAACTCAGCAGGATTCTTACTAAAGTTGGGCTAGGAAAGGACAAGGACTAAGGTCAAGTTCTACTTGAGGGGAAACGTGAACTCGGAGGAAGCCTCAAGAGGGCATCTTTGTCTCTGGAGGAGGAGCTATGTGGCTAAGAAGCAGATCAGGTGCAAAGGAAGAGAAATTGATTGAGGTAGTGAAACATCATAAAAAGTAATTCAGGGTGAAGAATAGGTTGGTAATGGAACGAATGGAATAAGATGTCTTACTGATATGGAATCAAAAGTAGTAGCTAGGGAAAGAGAAATGAGACAGTGGCCATATTTGAAGATACAATGTCAGAGAATTTTCCAGAACTTTAAAAATCATCCATATGCAAATGCAAGATTAAACCAAGTGGAAAAAATGGTAAATCTACACCTGGGAAATCAGAGTGAAATTATGGCATGCAAATGAGACTGTCTGAAGAATATTTACAGAAGAAGAACATATTTAGTTCACAGCAAGACAGAGTGAAAGCTGACTTCTCAGCACCATCAGTGGAAGCGAAAAGATAGTGCAAGAAAGAAAGTGCAAGGTAAAGAAAAAGATAATTGTTAACCTAGATATATGCAGGAAAAATACATTCAAAAATGGGTACAAAATTCATATCTTGTCAAGAGCCGGCAAGAGAAACCCCGCCCGTGACCAGGTCTGCGTTCGAGGAGCTGGCACGCAAGGGCATCCGGACCTCCGGGACCGCCCCACACGCAAAGGCGTCCGGACCTCCCGGGGTTTCTCTTGACAGCCCCACCATCCACTCCCAGGCCTTCGTCCTTTCATCTTCTGATGCTTGGTGTTCTTCTATGTTCCCTAAAAACTAGTCTGACTGTTACCTAAAATCCCTCCTTGAAACATTTGCATGGTAGCAACAGTCCCTGGGGGCACATGGGTCCCAATAAACAGGCTTATCTATCCCATAAGCAAAAGTAGATAGAGTCCATTACGAGATTGAGAAGATTCCTTAGGGTGTGATCAGGAAGGAATTCAGGAGACCCCCGACCCTTAGGATTACATACCAGAGCTAAATCTGCCCGGGGCTGAGCTTCCCAAGATAAGGTTTGTAGATGGCTTTTCACAGTTGACTAGCTGCTGCCATTGAATTGTTTAAAAGTTATGTGTAGGTATTGACTGTTCTGGAAAGTTATTTATGCTGTAACCCATGATTATGCACCTGGTACAATCTTATCATTCCCCCCTCCTTAAACCTCTTGAAAGGACTATTGGTTTTAGGCTATATAAGCAATAATGTAAAAGAATAAAGTAGTCTTGATCCTGCACTCAACCAGAACTCGACTTTCTCTTCTTCCCCGACGCGGCTCATCTGAAGGGAACCCTTAGACTCCGCCAGGGCTGGACCCCGGCAATATCTGGTGGAGAGTTTACTATGAGAACATCAACTCTAATTGAAATTCTAAATATTTCACTTTAAGCAGAAGTAAAAAGATCCAAGAGGCAGGAAGTCTGAAATGCAAAAGCAAATAAAAATCTAAGACAGCAGTAGAATGTGAAACAATCAATAAATGGATGACTGAATGAAACAATCATAATAATATATGCTAGGACTAAAAAATGAGAGGATAGAATTAACTAAAAAATGAGAGGATAGAATTAACATAAAATAAGAAGATTGGGGCTACAGATCAGGTGTTCTAAAGTCTTTGAATTATTCTGGAGGAGAGTGAAGGTGAATAATTTTAAGTTTGATGATTTAAGCATGAATTTTTTTCACTTATCTCATAATCAGATAAAGAACAGAGAAGGCTTTTAATTTCTGTACTGTGAAATATAAAAGTGACTTTTACACATCTCAGTAATTCAGAAAATAAAAGACAGAAATATCGGAGAAATTAGAAAATATCTTAAAAACTTGATGAACATGCAACTCTGTTTATAAGAGCCGGGACATGGAAGCAACCTAGATGTCCATCAGCAGATGAATGGATAAGAAAGCTATGGTACATAGCTTGCACAATGGAATATTACTCAGCCATTAAAAAGAATACATCTGAATCAGTTCTAATGAGGTGGATGAAACTGGAGCCTATTATACAGAGTGAAATAAGTCAGAAAGAAAAACACCAATACAGTATCAGTTCAGTTCAGTTCAGTCGCTCAGCCGTGTCCGACTCTTTGCGACCCCATGAATCGCAGCATGCCAGGCCTCCCTGTCCATCGCCAACTCCTGGAGTTTACCCAAACTCCTGTCCATCGAGTCAGTGATGCCATCCAGCCATCTCATCCTCTGTCGTCCCCTTCTCCTCCTGCCCCCAATCCCTCCCAGCATCAGGGTCTTTTCCAATGAGTCAACTCTTTGCATGAGGTGGCCAAAGTATGGGAGTTTCAGCTTCAGCATCAGTCCTTCCAATGAACACCCAGGACTGATCTCCTTTAGGATGGACTGCCAATACAGTACACTGATGCGTATATATGGAATTTAGAAAGATGGTAACGATAACCCTGTATGCGAGACAGCAAAAGAGACATAGACGTATAGAACAGTCTTTTGGACTCTGTGGGAGAGGGTGAGGGTGGGATGATTTGGGAGAATGGCATTGGAACATGTATATTACCATATGTGAAATGGATCGCCAGTTCAGGTTTGATGCATGAGACAGGGTCCTTGGGGCTGGTGCACTGGGATGATCTTGAGGGATGGGATGGGGAAGGAGGTGGGGGCAGGGGTGTGTTCAGGATGAGGAACACATGTACACCCATGGTGGAGTCATGTCAATGTATGGCAAAACCACTGCAATATTGTAAAGTAATTAGCCTCCAATTAAATAGATAAATTTATATTAAAAAAATAAAAAATAAAAAAAAGAGGCTTCGAAGCCACACAGGTGGGAAAAAAAAAACAAACTTGATGAACAAACTTGGCTTAATGTTTAATTGTAGAACCTTCACCCTGAAACATAATACTCATTTTTTAAAAACAGATTTGGAGCCTTCACGTGAAGTTTACATATACTAAACCACAAAGCAGGATCTGTAACGTCTTAGGTCAGTTTCCGCAGAAGCAGAGACTGAGAGCTATAGTTTTGTACAAATGACTCACTAAGTGAGTGCTTTCAGCAGAAGGGGACTGAGAGAAGCAGGAGAGGAAAAGAATATAAAAATAAAAAAGGTTACAGTCTCAGGTGGAAACTGGCTTCAAGCTGGTTCCGTGCGACCGCTGTAGCACAACCAGCACCAGTTGGTTCCTCCTTGCAGCAAAGGGTTGGATACCAATACCCCACAGCAGGCATTGGCTGTGGGCCACCCATTTTGGGCAGAGAAGCTCCCAGTTATTCCAGGGAAACTCTCCAAAGTAGACGACTAACCTAGCCAGTTACGACAAGCAAACATGTCCTTAGACATTGTCAAATGTCACCTGGGGGCCAAATCAGCACCATCAGGAGCTACCAAGCTGGAATAATCAAAACCATCTCTATGCAAACACATCCCAGTCTCCTAACTGGTGCTCCTGGGCTTGACCGATCTTCAGGGTTGAAGAAAAGTATGGAGGAAGGAGCCACTTAACAATGCCTACAGACGATGTCTTCTTTGCCTTAAGAAGTTTAAATTGCCTGATTTGGTGTAGAAAATAAAAGCAATAGAATTCAGTTCACAAATTCAGGCTGTACTTCCTCAGATTTCTGCTTTTTGTTGCTTTATTAATGGGTAAGGAAGTGTGCCTTATTTTACTAACTTTACTCAATTTATTTTCCTTTTATTTTTTTACTCAGAATATTATGTAAATGAACTCAGAATAAAATCTGAAACTCTCAGTGTCAAATAAAAATAAGCCTAAGTAAAATCCCTAAATATAATACATTTATCTTTTAGAGAGACTGGTTTCTTTTTGATTCACAGAAGCAAACATTATGTAGATGATGATGGTAATGATGGTAATGATGATGACGATGTGGGTGCGTACTAAGTCATTTCAGTCATATCAAACTCTTTGCGACCCTTAGGACTGTAGCCCACCAGGCTCCTCTGTCCATGGGATTCTTTAGGCAAGAGTACTGGAGTGGGTTGCCATGCCCTTCTCAACAAGAGCAAGATTACCTTCATCAATTTATGTTTTGCATATTATTGATGGATTTTCCATATTTTAAATTTAATTTAATTTATTTATTTGTAATTTTAAATTTGTTTATAAATTTATTTATTTTGGCTGATTTTTTTTTTTTTTTGGAGGCTAATTACTTTGCAATACTGTAGTGGTTTTTGCCATACATTGACATAAATCAGTCATGGATTTATGTGTGCTCCCACCCCCCTCCCCATCCCATCCCTCTGGGTCTTCCCAGTGCACCAGCCCTGAGCACTTGTCTCATGCATCCAACCTGGGCTGGTGATCTGTTTCCCCCTTGATAGTATACTTGTTTCAAAGCTCTTCTCTCTGAACACCCCACCCTCGCCTTCTCCCACAGAGTCCTAAAGTCTGTTCTGTACATCTGTGTCTCTTTTTCTGTTTTGCATATTGGGTTATCATTATCATCTTTTTAAATTCCATATATATGCGTTAGTATGTAAACAAAGTTACACCACAGAGAGCAAAAGTCATATACAATTCTGACTGACATCAAAGTGGCTACTTTAAATGTAACTGCATTTAGTCACTTAAAAAATACATATTGATCACTGACCATGTGCTGGGTACAATGGGAGGCACTGGGAAGGCATTGAGGATTCTGTGATTAGTAAAACAACCATGGTCTCTGCTCATACATTTTTTAGTTCATAAATAAGACATTAAAAAGCTAATTGTTACCTTATTGATACTTCCTTGACTAAAAATGAGACTGTGCATTTTTCAAGTTTTATTCTAGGAATTAAGATCTGTACCTCTGTGCATTATCTGTTCATAACTATGCTATTTTTCTTTGGGATTGTCTTTTCCTTAGCAATTAAAAAATATTATTTATTCCTCAAAAAAGTTACACAAATATATTTGAATTTCTGACAAGCAATACAAAGGAATGTTTGCATTCCTTATTAATATTAATAAGTATAGAAAGGAGACCTAGTTTAAGTTAGTCAATCAGTAATCCTTCCCTGACAGAAGAAGAGTTCAGATGAATTTTTAGTAAGAGCACAATTAGGAAAGAAATGAGAGAAGTGAAGTGCAGACAGAAGGAGAGTTTGTGTAAAAAATTCCTGATTGAAATAGAGTTGGGTGTATTTGGTACGTGAAGGAAGCTCCACATGCTGAAGCTGAGATAACCAGGGACAAGGAGACAGGAAGACAAGAGCCGGATGATGTAAGATCTAGTAGCCTCCATATGGAGAATGTATGCTTCTAAGACTGTGCATGAAAGTGACATGACTTACTTTGTAATTTAAAAACTCATTGCAACTCCTGGGTGAAAATGAATTGATGATTGCTAAAAACGAAACTGGGGCTTCCTTTGCGGCTCAACAGTAAAGATTCTGCCTGCAATGCAGGAGACGCGGGAGACCAGGATTTGATCTCTGGGTCTGGAAGATCCCCTGGAGGAGGGCATGGCAACCCACTTCAGTATTCTTGCCTGGAGAATCCTGTGGACAGAGGAGCCTGACAGGTTACAGTTTGTGGGATCACAAAGAGTCAGACACAACTGAAGTGACTGAGCACACACATAGGTAAAACTGATACCAGGTCATGGCACCAATCTTACAAATAGGCCAGTCTGGGACTTTTTAAAATTAAAAGCCTGTTTACAAAAGACTTAAAATGCTAAGTGCCATATACTTATTTTTGAAAAAATAATAATGAAAGGCGCTGTAGCCCCTTGATGCAGTTGCTGATGAAAAATCAATCTGTTGATCTATGAAAGAAATCAGAAATTTTATTTGAGTCAGATTTGAGGATTATAACTTGAGAAGAGCATCTCAGAATGCTCTTAGAACTGTTCCACCTGTTAGAAGTCAAGTCAGTGATAAAAGATTTTGGAGACAGATGCTGTACATTAAATGGCATATTACTGGTTGTTCACATAACCTAGAATGAAGCATCATCATGGCCCTTTATGAGATCAGGAAGGAATGTTATCTTTGAAGGAGCTGTCTTGTGCCAGAGGAATGTTGCTGTTTATGGCTGAGCAGTTATTTCTGCCCATGGTGGAAGATGTTTATTTTTTGTTTTTGATATTTTGTTGATACATAATGCAGATACACAGTGCACCGTAGGAGGGAGAGAGGAAGGCAAAGGGCATAGAAAATTTGTATGATTAAATTTTTCTTCTCTTGCCATAAAATATGAATTTTACTTCACATGATGTTTCTCCCCTTGCTCCCACCAAATGGCACATGCTTGCAGTCATGACTTTCTTCTTCTTCTAGCTTTAATGAGAGAGAATTGACATATAACATAGTCTAAGGTGAGGTCTCCCCAGGCAGTGCTTGTGGTAAAGAACCCGCCTGCCAATGCAGGAGACGTAAGAGATGTGGGTTCAATTTTTGCATCCCCTGGAGGAGGGCATGGCAACCCACTCCAGTATTCTTGCCTGGAGAATCCCATGGACAGAGGAGCCTGGTAGGCTACAGTCCATGGTGTCGCAAAGACTTGGACATGACTTAAGTGACAGCACACACACACACATAGTTTAAGGTGAACAGTAATCAGGCTTTAAAATGGTCTAACATAATGCTTTTCCAGCCAGCCAGTGTCTTACATCACTTGAGGCCACTTGAAATGGCATTTCTTTTAAACAGGATCCAGACTGAAACTGAAAACAATGAAGAGCTCCTTTTATAACAGACTCATTTCTAGGAAATCATCAGCTCTTCTGTAAGAGGAAAAGAGGAGCCTGATTTTGAAAATTAATTCTGTAGCAGAATGTGAAAACTGGTCAGACAATTAAATCTGTGTTCCCAAAGTGCTTCTGCAGATTCTCCTTAGAGGCCACACTCTTCCTCTAGGGTACAGTGTATTTCACTGGCCAGAAAAATCCCACGGGTTGTGCAAATTCTGCTTAGCTGGGAAAGAAGCGAAGCAGGACTCTGTGGGGCTACTGGGCGTGGAAGCCTTTCAAACATTTGCTCACCAGTGAAGGGAGGTGTCGGGAGCCTCCGGAAGGTGCCCAGGCCGTGACAAGGTCACAAGACAAGAGAGGAACCTGCAAGGCAGCTCTTCCCCTCGGGGTCGCCCCGGGGACCCAGTTTGTCCCCTTTCTCTTTCTGTCTTACTGTTATTGTGCTTTCTACTAAATCTTGGAAATGTAATGTGTAGTAATCAGGCCTCCCCGGAATAGCCCAAGCTGAGGGTATGGCTATGGGCAGAAATAAGGAAAAGGACACAGGCATAGTTTGGCTGCTTGCTTAGAAGATTATAATGTTCTAGATTAAAAAAGAGTAGAGACATTTAGATTCAGAAGTAGATGTACTGCTTCAGTTTACTTGCTCCTTGCTTGAGAGGGCTTTCATTATTGCTATTTCTATTCTGCTATTTGTCCATTGTTTCCCTTCCTTTAAACAACATGGAATATTACGGGTATTTTTGTAGAGTTAGCAAATGTGTTACACAGGATTTCAATAGAAGATTTATATTAACCTGCCTCGCTGCCATTACCTCACTATTAATAGAGGTGTTTTGCTGCTTCATAGTTAATCATTGTAGACTGAGATTTTGTGGTTTCAGGTAAAGAAAAATATCAGGGTTTTCATATGGTACTATTCTCAGAAATGTCAAACATGTTTTTGTAACCCTCCCCATGTATTGTTTTATTGTCCAAAGAATTCATACTATATCTGGAATCTATGGAACATTGTTTTTGTCAGAGTGAAAATGTTAGGCCATTGAGGCACGCATGAAACCAACATCTGATGTAACATGGGGTGATGGTAAGGGCGAGGCAAGAAAAATGATTCTATATAACCTGAGCTGTTAAAAAAATAAAGGAGACGAGTTCTTGCATTGCAACCAGAGTCCGTGCACTTCTTTTCGCCGATGCCACTCATCCCTTCCTGGAGGGGATGCAGAGACAAAGAAGGAGAATTCAAGAATAGCGCAGCCTTGGGGCAGGGAACTGGTTACATCTTAAGGGATGTGAGCGCTCAGTCGCTCAGTTGTGTCAGACTCTTTGTGACACTATGGACTGTAGCCCTCCAGGCTTCTCTGTCCATGGAATTCTCCAGGCAAAAATACTGGAGTGGGTTCCTATTTTCTACTCCAGGAAATCTTCCCGACCTAGAGATTAAACCCATGTCTTTTGCGTCTCCTGCATTGGCAGGCAGGTTCTTTACCACTGCGCCACCTGGAAAGTCCACTGGATACAGCTGGTGTCAAATTAACATATTATTTCTAAAACAAGATGCTGGGTTGGTCATCTTTTCTGCAGTTAAATAGAAAGTGAGTAAAATTTCATTTCAGTTAAATAACATCTCTTTATTTTCCATCAGTTTAGGAAATTATTTTAATAATTCTTCCTTAACCAATACTATATTTTGTGAACAAGACTTATAGAATACATATCTTAAAGATATTTTATCTTGCAATAATTTCCCATGGAACTCTTTCTGTAGTTCTCCCATGGAAGCTGGGAGATGACTCCAAGGATATTTTTCTTCAGTAATAATAATGATAATAATAAATTAGCATAATCAAATTACATTAAAATATTATAAACATTAAAATATGATAAATAGTAATAAAATAACAATAAAAATATTGATTTAAAGACTAAAAGATTCAGCTAGTCTTATATTCTACACCTCTAAAATCATATTTTTATTTTATAGCCTCATGGAACAAAATAAAAACCAAAACAAAAGAGTGAGGCAGAAAGAGAGGGCAGGCAGGATGCTATGATCCAGTTGATGAGGAAAAAAGAACTTTTTCTCTGAACTTGGGCCAGTGTCCAACCCTCATTGTCAGTATCTGTGTCTCAGTAAGTTCAGGGTCACTATCTTTAACCCAGCTAAGTTTCAACTCTAGAAGTTACAAGTTTAAGGCACTTAAAAAATCTATCTCTGATATTGTTGGGTATACTTTTAGTGATTTGACAGAATTTTCAGCTGTAAACACTATGATTTATTCTATTTTATGAGATGAACTCATGGCAATCCAAGTACAGATTCTACTTTTCTAGCTGCTCTTGCACCCAGGTGAGGCCATGTGCACAAGAAGGATGATTAGAAGTATATGTACCTTACTCGTGGGTCTATGCCAGAGAACTTTGAGCCTGTTCTCCACCAGTCACTCTTATCCATCTTACTATCTGGGAAAATTGAAGGCAGGAGAAGGGGATGACAGAGGATGAGATGGTTGGATGGCATCACCAACTCGATGGACATGTTTGAGCAAGCTCCGGTAGTTGGTGATGGACAGGGAAGCCTGATGTGCTGCAGTCCATGGGGTCGCAAAGAATTGGACACAACAGAGACTGAACTGAACTGATCTGGATATCAGCTGATGTGGCAGCTGTCAACCTTTGAATTTCCACATGTTTGTGATGTCTTAGTGGGTACCAAACAGCAGAATGAAAGGAACCCGAAATTCTGAATGCATCTCTGGAACCTAGAGTGGTGGGACTGTAATATATCTTCTAAGTTATAGAACCACCTTCCCAAACCATCTCCATCTCCAGTGTCCTCCCTTTATTCTCTCTTTCTGCCATCAGAGAGAGGGAGCTCAAACATGACTCAGCATGACTAGTAACCTTCAAAATCTCTATCTGTTTGTGGAATACAGTCTATGAACCAAGTCTTTCAACTTTATTCTCAGTGAGTCTGTTACACTGGTTACATGGACCTGATTACATAGGGGCTAATCAGCCCCTACTTTTGCACATCTGCTCACTGCCTTCATTTGCTTTAAAATCTATTTCCTCCAGTTACCTTTTTAAAAAGACTGAATCACTTTTTAAGATCCAACAGAAATGATACCTTCTCAGTGAAGCTATGTATGAAAAGTGAAAGTGCTAGTCACTCAGTTGGGTTTAATTCTGTGACCCCATGGACCGTACCCCACCAGGCTCCTCTGTCCATGGAATTCTCCAGGCAAGAATACTGGAATGGGTAGCCTTTCCCTTATCCAGGGGATCTTCCCCACCCAGGGATCCTACCCAGGTCTCCTGCATTGCAGGCGGATTCTTTACCAGCTGAGTCACCAGGGAAGCCCAATTAATAACAAGGGTACTTTTAAAAGAGAGAGAGAGGGGGAACAAAAAAAGATTCAAAGCAAAAAATTAAAACCCCAAAACCCCTCTATTGCCTTCCCCAAATTACCCCTGAGAAACAATCACATTGGCAGCTGCTCTGTTCCCACTGTGGGGTAAGGACACCGAAGACAACTTTGGAGGAGGGAGCTGCCTGGATTTTGGCCACATTCTGAGCCTCTAGCCTCGGTTAAGAAAGAAAAAAACCTGTAGCAATTATCCTTAGGATACTGCATGTGTCCTTTCGGTTTCATTACTCATAAGCCTCACCCATAACAGATGGCTGTAAAATCCTGCTCGCCTTTCAACTTTTAAAGAGCAAAGCAGGTTTCCGGAGGAACCAGACTCAAGGGGAGCCCCAGGGAAGAACCAAGGCAGCTGGGAATTTGACCCCCGGTGCGCCAAGTAAGTTTCTCCCTAGCACATTTTTGTTAGCTAACAACAGTGGATCCCCTAGCGTAGACCGCACACTGCGGGAGGGGAGGCTGCCAGCTGCCTGGGCGAGAGGGTGTGAGGGCCGCCTTGCGTCTGCCTTTGGATCTGGGGCGGCCGCGAATGATGTCCCTGGATGCGCTGCTCCTGCCGGGGACTCAGTCCCGGGCTGGGGCAAAGAGCGTCGCTTGGGAGGAGGAATCCTCCCCGTCTCACCTTCAGAAAAGGGGGCTGAGGTCCTTTATAGGACTGAGGGACTAAATCCTTCCTCCTAAAAGCGGAGCTGAGTGGGGTTGCTCCCTCCCCCCTCCTCCTCCCCATCACACACCTCCTGACTACCCTGCAGGTAGTGGAAAAACAGAGAAGAAGGTCCTCAACATACGGAGGAGCCTGGTGGGCTGCAGTCCATGGGGTCACTAAGAGTCGGACACGACTGAGCGACTTCACTTTCACTTTCGTGCATTGGAGAAGGAAATGCAACCCACTCCAGGGTTTTTGCCTGGAGAGTCCAGGGGACAGGGAACCTGGTGGGCTGCCGTCTATGAGGTCGCACAGAGTCGGACACGACTGAGGCGACTTAGCAGCAGCAGCAACATACAAGTTTATTTTTAAAAATTCTTATTACATATTAACCATGTGTAATATTCTAAAAATTCTGCAGAGTTGCATTTATGTGAAATAATTCATTCTCACACTTTCCCTTAAAATAAACCATAAGGTCTAAGCCTATTTTTCCAAATGTGTCGTCCTTACCAAAAACAAAGCAAGACAAAAACACAAACGTTATTTTCAGTTTCTTGTTCTGTTCCCTTTGTGAGAATGAAAAGCATGTCTCAGTTTCTTTTCAACTTCTGTAGAATGGCTCAGAACGTAAAGAATCTGCCTGCAATGCAGGAGACCTGAGTTTGTTCCCTGAGTCGGGAAGATCCCCATGCAGAAAAGAATGGCTACCCTCTCCAGTATTCTTGCTTGGAGAATTCCAGGGACAGAGGAGCCTGGTAGGCTACAGTCCATGGGGCTGCAGGTCAGGCAAGACTGAGCAACTAACACTTTCCATAAAATAGCCGCAGAAAGGTGGGAGGAAAAAAGAGAGCAAGGATGACTGGTAAACAACTGGGAGCTTTTTCTGGAACTCACTGATCTGAAGAGCTGTGAAGAAGAAATGTTAATCCGTCGAGTTTCTTTTGCATATAAATTAGTCTTGAGATCAGAACTCTTAATTTCTGATTCAAAATGATATGTGAGGAATGGAGACTTGGGGGAGAATATAGCCTGATGGTCTTGACTGTAGAATTCAGATGCTAGCTTTAGTTCTGGGAAAACTCAGCTTTTCCATTTGCACCAGTGGTAGCTGGGAGCTGACAGCCTCATATCCTGTCACATAGCCAGGACACCAGCCCATGGTGTGGAAAGAACCCTGCCTGGAGAGATGAGAGATTAGGATCTTCTCCTGGTTCTTTGGAGAGGGGTTAGGGGAAGGACACATTTTCTCCACCCATAACCTCAAGTTTCCTCACTTGCATATGCATTGAGAGAGTCATCACTGGTTCTCAACAGGGTTCCACATTAGATTCACCGCCTACACTTTTTTTTTTTTTGAGGGAAGACCGAGGCCATACTTGAGTCAGACAGTTCTGGCTGGTTTTATTTATTGAATAAGGAAAAAAATGATACCCCCAAAGCAAATAGGCAGCCTAAACATGGCAGCCTCATTTTACCCTCAGTCACAACCTTAAAAGTTGGGAAACAAGCATGTTGCCTCCTGGCCTTGGTTGTAAGCCATTGCTGCGGCCCAAGCGGCCTCTGACACCCCAGGGGGCTGCTTATTTCTGGATATTTTCTGAAAATTGGGAAGGACCAACTCAGCACTTCTGGGAAATAAGCAGTGCTTTCTTCTTCCTTAATGTAGTCCTGTGGTAGACATGTCCAAGCGTTGTACAGACCCTCCTGAGGGAAGAGTTCAGTTCTGAGTTTTTTCACATGGATATTTTTGAACAGTTATACTTTACTGAAGATCAGATATTCTTCACTGCTTTTTAATTAAGATATACTTTTTATTGGTTTATTAAACACATCTTTTTCTTTTCTTTTTTTTAATACACATCTTTTTCTTGATGTTGACACACATTTCTATTTGGAAAAACAAAGCCAATTTTCCAATGACTCAATTTACCTACGCAGAGGGTGATTGTTAAACTGTGTGGCCAAAAGGATTTTGATGACTTCTAAAAAAGAAAAGAAACAAAAACTGTTTCCCTTTTGGAACCTAAATTCCTTCAATCTCTTAAATAGTATAAATGGTTCTAAAGATATTGTATTTCATTGATTTGTCATATGTCAAACTGGAATTGTCAATCATCTCAGATTTTGATGAATACTTGCTATCCCTATCACTAATTCTATAGCTATTCTCAACAACTAAGACCAGGAAACAGAAGAGATGGATGAAATCTGTGTCTTAACATTTCATGGATTGTTTTCCCAAGGTCACCCTAGTCCCAGGTCCTCCCTCAGCATTGGCTTCACTGATCTGTTTTATTTTTAATATGTTTTCCTGGGAAATTCTTCTTCTAGAATACACCAAAGTATGTTACCTGAGAAAAGATACTTTCATTTTTAAAATGCCGTGACTTGGAGATCCATAAAGATTAATAGAAAGGAAATAACTAATTTAGTAGCAGGAGATGTGGCTTATGAAGATTTTCCTACTTGTTATTTGGTCGCTAAGTAATGTCTGACTCATTGTGACCCCATGGACTGCAGCACACCAGGCTCCTCTGTCCTCTCCTATCTCCTGGAGTTAGCTCACATTCATGTTGATACTACATGGAAATGATAAGTGATAAAAAAAATCATTTAGATTTGTAGTTTTGTACAAATCTACAAATTTGTAGATTTGTAGTTTCAGAGTTATTGATCATTTATCATAGCTCCCCTAAATTTCCTGACTTATCCAGTACTGTGAATGCTTGTGGTGACCTTCCATGATGCCTTCAACAATGGGCAGTTCCTTATTTGGAGAACCTTTGACCTAGTGTGGAAACTGAGCAGCTATGCAGAGGGAGGTTTCCACAAAAATGGTCCTGGCACTGTCAAAGATGGCCTACAGATAAGATGTAATGGAGTGCTCCAGGCTTCCCTGATTGTTTAGTGGTAAAGAACCTGTCTGCCAGTTTCATCCATCTCATTAGAACTGATTCAAATGAATTCTTTTCAATGGCTGAGTAATATTCCATGGTGTATATGTACCACAGCTTCCTTATCCATTCGTCTGCTGATGGGCATCTGGGTTGCTTCCATGTCCTGGCTATTAAAAACAGTGCTGTGATGAACATTGGGGTGCACGTGTCTCTTTCAGATCTGGTTTCCTTGGTGTGTATGCCCAGAAGTGGGATTGCTGGGTCATAAGGCAGTTCTATTTCCAGCTTTTTAAGAAATCTCCACACTGTTTTCCATAGTGGCTGTACTAATTTGCATTCCCACCAACAGTGTAAGAGGGTTCCCTTTTCTCCACACCCTCTCCAGCATTTATTGCTTGTAGACTTTTGGATAGCAGTCATCCTGACTGGTGTGAAATGGTACCTCATTGTGGTTTTGATTTGCATTTCTCTGATAATGAGTGATGTTGAGCATCTTTTCATGTGTCTGTTAGCCATCTGTATGTCTTCCTTGGAGAAATGTCTGTTGAGTTCTTTGGCCCATTTTTTGATTGGGTCATTTATTTTTCTGGAGTTGAGCTGCAGGAGTTGCTTGTATATTTTTGAGATTAATCCTTTGTCTGTTGCTTCGTTTGCTATTATTTTCTCCCAATCTGAGAGCTGTCTTTTCACCTTGCTTATAGTTTCCTTTGTTGTGCAAAAGCTCTTAAGTTTCATTAGGTCCCATTTGTTTATTTTTGCTTTTATTTCTGAAATTCTGGGATGTGGGTCATAGAGGATCCTGCTGTGATTTATGTCGGAGAGTGTTTTGCCTATGTTCTCCTCTAGGAGTTTTATAGTTTCTGGTCTTGCATTTAGATCTTTAATCCATTTTGAGTTTATTTTTGTGTATGGTGTTAGAAAGTGTTCTAGTTTCATTCTTTTACAGGTGGTTGACCAGTTTTCCCAGCACCACTTGTTAAAGAGGTTGTCTTTTTTCCATTGTATATCCTTGCCTCCCTTGTCAAAGATAAGGTGACCATAGGTTCGTGGATTTATCTCTGGGCTTTCTATTTTGTTCCATTGATCTATATTTCTGTCTTTGTGCCAGTACCATACTGTCTTGATGACTGTGGCTTTGTAGTATAGTCTGAAGTCAGGCAGGTTGATTCCTCCAGTTCCATTCTTCTTTCTCAAGGTTACTTTGGCTATTTGCCACTCCAGTATTCTTGACTGGAAAATCCCATGGACAGAGGAGCCTGGTAGGCTACAGTCCAGGTGGTCACAAGAGAGTTGGACATGACTTAGTGACTAAACAACAACAATGGACTACTCCATCAAATATGACAAACCAGAGTCATTGAAGCAGTACATGATAATTTGTCTTAATGGTTGATTCTTCATGTTACCTCTGATACCTTGAAGCCACATTTTTGTCCACAGGTTTACTACTATTCATAGTAGAAAGATTCTGATTCTTTTGAGCAAGAGTGTTCTGATAGATTATATTACTCCAATTTATGTCTTCCTCTCCCAAGCTCAGGGCTTCCTTGGTGGCTCAGATGGTAAAGAATCCACCTGCAATGCAGGAGAACTGGGTTCGATCCCTGGGTTGGGAAGATCTCCTGGAGAAGGGAATGGCAACCCACTCCAGTATTCTTGCCTGGAATACTGACAAGACATGGACAGAGGAGCCTGGAGGTGTACAGTCCCTGGGATCACAAAGAGTTGGAAACAACTGAGCAACTAACACTCACACTTTCCCAAAGTCAGGCAATTTTTCTGGAAATCCGTCTGACCACTGAAGCAAAGTCAGTACAGAACTCAGATGTCCTCCTTGACTGAAAATTATAAACACACTTAAGTTATTTTGAGCCTGTTGCTTTTACTGTGTACTCTCTCCCATTCATTGTAACCCAAGTTTCTCTGGGAAGATTCCCTTACCAGATACTTCTTTACTTTGCTTTTAATGGTAATACTATAAATCATGTCCTATATATTGAATCTCAGGATGCTGCAACTGTGATGAACCAACATACGAAAAATCTCAGGATGCTACAACTGTGAGCAACCAAAATACAAACCAACATTTCACACAGAAGGCTCAGGGGACTTAGAAACTTACTAGTAGTCTTAGAGTATTTCAGTTTCTTTTTCTGAGGTGGGAGTAATTCAAGTTCCCTTAAACAGTTTTATTGAGATATAAAACAAACACCATAAATTTAATGCATTTAAAATTTACAGTTGATACATATGTACAAAATTGGAAAAGGAGTACATCAAGGCTGCGTATTGTCACTCTGCTTATTTAACTTATATGTAGAGTACATCATGCGAAATGCTGGGCTGGATGAAGTCCAAGCTGGAATCAAGATTGCTGGGAGAAATATGAATAACCTCAGATATGTAGATGACACCATCCTTATGGCAGAAAGCAAAGAAAAACTAAAAAGCCTCTTGATGAAAGTGAAAGAAGAGAGTAAAAATGTTGGCTTAAAGTTCAGCATTCAGAAAACTAAGATCATAGCATCCGGTCCCATTACTTCATGGCAAATAGATGGGGTGGGGAAACAATGGAAACAGTGAGACTTTATTTTCTTGGGCTCGAAAATCATTGCAGATGGTGACTGCAGCCATGAAATTAAAACATGCTTGCTCCTTGGAAGAAAAGCTATGACCAACCTAGACAGCGTATTAAAAAGCAGAGACATTACTTTGCCAACAAAGGTCCGTCTAGTCGAAGCTATGGTTTTTCCAGTAGTCACATATAGATGTGAGTTTGGACCATAAGGAAAGCGAGCGCTGAAGAATTGATGCTTTTGAACTGTGGTGTTGGAGAAGACTCTTGAGAGTCCCTTGGACTGCAAGGAGATCAAACCAGTCCATCCTAAAGGAAATCAGTCCTGAATATTCATTGGAAGGACTGATGCTGAAGCTGAAACTCCAATACTTTGGTCACCTGATACGAAGAACTGACTCATTGGAAAAGACCCTGATGTTGGGAAAGATTGAAGGCGGGAGGAGAAGGGGATGACAGAGGATGAGTTGGTTGGGTAGCATCACTGACTTGATAGGACATGAGTTTGCATAAACTCTGGGAGTTGGTGACTGACAGGGAAGTCTGGCGTGGTGTTGTCCATGGGTTCACAAAGAGTCGGACATGACCGAGTGACCGAACTGAACTGAACATATGTACCAGGGTAAATGTACAGTGATTTCACATGGAGAAGGTGTTTTCAGAAAGCTTCCTGAAAGATGTGTGGGGTGTAAATTGTGAAATATTTTTACATACTATCCAGGGTGGGATGTCTCCAGAAGAACCACAAACAGAAAAAAGATTGTGAAAAATATTAAAGGGCTTATAGTTACCTATTTGCAAACCTGCACATTCTTCTGACTAGTGGAAGCTAGCATGTGGTTTGGTGGAGTTGAGGGAAGGCAACACTGGAAAGGAGGTGCAGGGGTAGCAAGGTAGGCAGAATCTTGGAAATTGCATTTGTAGGCAGTTAGAAGCAACCAGCGAATGTTATTCAGAACAGTTCACTTGCCAGAATACTTTAATGGAATTCTAGATATGACCTGCTTGACATGTCTTTGCCCCTTTCTGTCTCCAGGGCTAAAAGAAGAATTAGAAGAAAGCGGAATGAATAAAGATGGGATCCTTCATGATACAGAAAAGACCTCAGCAGGTACAGGGGAGGGTTCTGCAGTGGGGTGGGGTTCTGCTCACAGTTCTGCTGCAGTGGCCCCTGAGACCCTAACAGGAGGAACTTCCAGAACCAGGGACCTTCTCTTCCTATAAACACACTCTGTTTCATCTCACAATAACAAAGAGAGTTGTGGTTGTAGGTCCAGGCAGCCAGTCAGAATCTTTCCTATCACATTTCCAAACCTGCCCTTGATGTACAGTCACAGGTGAAGTCAGACATGTCCATTTGCTTTTTCAAGACAACTTGGTCACTGAGAAGGTGGAGGTTTGAGGGATGAGAGGTTGTAGCTCTTAGGACTAACTTTTGTTTTCTCCCTTCTTTAACATCTTCCTGGAGCAGCAGAGCAGTACAAAAGAGAAGCAGCTAAGAGGGAAAAGGATTCTCTTGAGCAAAAGGTTAAAGAGCTGCTACAAATGTTAGAGAGCCAAGGAATAGCCTTCGAGATATTTAGAGTCAAAATCACAGGCGAGATGAGAGAAAGAGACAACCTTCTGAGAAGGATGAACAAGAGGATTGAGATGCTGGAGGTAACTTGGTGTGGGTCTGGGCAGTGATGGTAGAAAAAGTCCTCAAACCCCAGGAAGGGATGGGTGGAAATTAAAGCAAAGTCATAGAGAGAAGCACCATGGTCCTTGACTGCTTTTGACTCATTAGAAGCTCTGAGTTATTAATGGTTATTTATTTAGTTGCTAAATTGTGTCTGACTCCTTGCAATCCCCTGGACTGTGGCTACAGTACCCTGCCAGGCTCCTCTGTGCATGGAATTCTCCAGGATAGAATACTGGAGTGGGTTGCCATTTCCTTCTCCAGGGGATCTTCCCAACCCATGGGTCAAACTTGTGTCTCCTGCATTGGCAGGTGGATTCTTTACCATTGAGCCACCAGGGAAGGCCTTTTAATGGCTTAAATCCAAGCATTTGGGTTCTTATCACAGTGAGCTTCTGAAGATTCCAGGAGGACCTTGGAACCTCCATGCATTTATAAATAACTTTCCCATGATTTGAGAGAATAGCATTGAGACATGTATATTACCATATGGGAAACAGATCACCAGTCCAAGTTCGATGCATGAAACGGGGCGCTCAAAGCCAGTGCACAACCCTGAGGGATGGGATGGGGAGGGAGATGCGAGGAGAGTTCAGGATGGGGGGATACATGTACGCCCATGGCTGATTCATGTCAGTGTATGGCAAAAACCACCACATACTGTAAAGTAATTAGCCTCCAATTAAAATAAATAAATTAATTTTAAAATAAAAACTTTCCCAGAGCTTGTGTTGCTGTTTTGAGGGATTCCTGGATGATCTCATGGAGTCAGTATTAACTAGGATTCCCAGGGTTATCAGGTGGTTATTCTGAGTGTATCTACTAGATGCAGGAGATGTTACTGGAGCAGTACATGTAATTCGTCTTAATAGTTGATTCTTCATGTCACCCACTCTACCTCAATGCCATCTTATTGGCTACAGATTTACTACTATTCAAACCCTGATGGCTCAGTGGTAAAGAATCTGCTTGCAATGCGGAGACTTGGATTCAATCCCTGGGTTGGGAAGATCAACCTGGTCCAGTGTTCTTGCCTGAGAAATCCCATGGACAGGGGAGCCTGGCGGGCTATACACTTCATGGGTTCGCAAGAGTTGGACACAACTTAGTGGCTAAACCACCATCATAGTAGCAGGATCTTGATTCCTTTAAGAGAGTCTAAATCACTATATTACTCCAAGTGATCTCCTCCTGTTCCAAACTCAGGTACTTTTTCTGGAAAACTGTCTGATCTCTGAAGCAGAGCAAAGACACTCAGATGTCCTTGACAGAACATGCCCCAGGTTTCCTTATCTACTTGGAACACATCTAGCTTATTTTTAGCTTGTTGCTTTTTCTGTACATTCTCTATATTCACAGTCAACCAAGTTCCTCTGGGAAGATCTCTTACCAGATCATTCTTCATCTTTACTTTGGTTTTAGTTGTATTACTGTTAACTGTATCCTGTAGATAGAATCTCAGGATGCTACAACTGCAAGGACCCATAGAGATTATATAATATAAATTAAACATCTTGCAAACATGGCTCAAGGAGTTGGCACTTATCACCAACTTGATGGGCATGAGTTTGAGTAAACTCCAGGAGTTGGTGATGGACAGGGAGGCCTGGCGTGCTGTGATTCATGGGGTCGCAAAGAGTCGGACACGACTGAGCGACTGAATTGAACTGAAATGAACTGAGTAGCCATAAAGAGACTATTTTCCCAGATGGAGTAATTCAAGTTTTCTTAAACAGTTTTATTGAGAGAGAATTTAAAAACTATCAATATAAAAAAAACTATCAATATAAATTTCATTTATTAAAAATACATGATTCATATGAATTACTCATGTGAATGTACACTGATTTCACATGGGGAAGATTTTCTCTGAAATCTTCCTGAAAGAGGCATATGATGTAAATTTTGAAAAACTGGTACATCTTATTCAAGGTGGGATGTTATCAGAAGAGTCAAAAGCAGAAAAAACAGCATATGAAAAATATAAAAGTCCCCAAATTTGCGTATTTATAAAACTGCACATTCTTCTGATGGGTGGAAGCTAGCATGCTGAGGGGGAAGCAACATGGTGAGGAGGCTGCAGGGGTAGCCAGGTAGGTGGGATCTGGAAAATCTACCTGTAGGCAGTGAGAAGCAACCAGGAAGTGTTGCATGAAACAGTTCATTTCTCAGAATGTTTCAGTGGAAGTTTAAGTTTGACCTGCCTGACATGGCTTTACCCCTTTGTGTCTCCAGATCTTAAGAAAGATAAAGAAAGAACAAGAGGAATGCTACATGAAGAAAGGTGAGGAGTGGAGAGAGGCTCAAGAAAGAGTGGATATATGTATATATGTATGTAGATAATTATGACCAATTCATGTTGTATGGCAGAAACCAACACAACATTCTAAAGCAATTTTCTTGAAGTAAGCCAGAAAGATAAAGACCAATACAGTATACTAACACATATATATGGAATTCAAAAAGATGGTAACAATAACCCAATATGCAAAACAGAAAAAGAGACACAGATGTACTGAACAGACTTTGGGACTCTGTGGGAGAAGGCGAGGGTGGGATGTTCTGAGAGAATAGCATTGAAACAAGTATACTATCAAGGGGGAAACAGATCACCAGCCCAGGTTGGATGCATGAGACAAGTGCTCAGGGCTGGTGCACTGGGAAGACCCAGAGGGATGGGATGGGGAGGGAGGCGGGAGGGGGGATCAGGATGGGGAACACATGTAAATCCATGGCTGATTTATGTCAATGTATGGCAAAAACCACTACAATATTGTAAAGTAATTAGCCTCCAACTAATAAAAATAAGTGAAAAAAAAAAAAGCTGGGGATCTATAAATGACAAATAATTATATTAAAAAATTATATACTGAACCACTGCTAATAACATTTTAATTAATAAAAGTTGCTTTTGAAAAAAAGTAACAAAATGTTGATTAAAATTTGAAAAAAAAGAAAGCTCCTTCATGACTCAGAAAAGACCTCAGCAGGTAGAAGTTGGGCTCTTCTCACAGTAGAGAGGGGAGGTTCCTGCAGTGACCTCTGAGACTCTGACAGGAGAACTTCCAGAAGGATGAGCTCCCTCACCTCTTGTGAACTCACTCTGCTACATCTGAAATAACAAGGAGAGTTGTGGTTGTAGGTCTAGCCAGCCAGTCATGGCCTTTCCTAGCATGTTTTCATACCTGCCCTTATGTGTGGCCGCAGGTGAATTCAAACATGTCCATCTGCTTTTTTCAGACAGTTTGGTCACTGAATGTGGAGGTTTGGGGGATGAGAGGTTGAAGCTCTCAGAGTTGACTGTTGTTCCCTTTCCTTTCTAAAAATCTTCCTGGAACAGAGGAGCAGATCAAAAGAGAGGCAAGTGAGAGGGAAAAAGACCCTTCTGAGCTAAAGGTTCAAGAGCTGCAGCGAAAGTTGGAGAACCAAAAGAGAGTTTTGGAGAGATTAAGAGCCAGAATGAGAAAGGAGATAAGAGAAAGAGAGAAGACCTCAGCAGGTACAGGGGAGAGCTCTGCTCACAATGAGGTGGGGAGGTTCTTGCAGTGCTCTGTGAGACTGCTACAGGAGGAACTTCCAAAAACAGGGACCCTCTTCTCCTTCTCTGAACACACTCTAAGCTATATCTGAAAACAACAAGGTAAGATGCTATAGGTCCAACCAGGGTGCCAGGGCCTTTCCTAGCACACTCCCCAAACTGCCCTTAATATGTGGTCACAAGTGACTTGAAATGTTTTATGTGTCCACCTGCTTCTTCTACAGTTTGGTCACTGAGAAAGGAGGGTTGGGTTCTGGAGGGTGTGGGTCTCAGATCTGACTGTTGTTTTCTTCCTCCTCTAAATCCTTCCTGGAGCAGAAGAGTGGGCCAGAGGAGAGGCAACTGAGAGGGCAAAGGAACCTCTTGAACAAAAGGTTAAAGCATCACAGTCAAAGATGGAGGGTGACCAAAGTGTCTTCTTGAAAGGAGTTAGACTCCAAACGACACAGAAGATGAGAGAAAGAGAAAACCTTCTGAGACGGATAAACGAGAGGTTTGAGATGTTGGAGGTAATCTAGTATGGGTCTGGGCAGTGACTGTGGAAAAAGTATTGGAACCTCAGGAAGTGGTGGGTGGAAATTAAAGCACAGTCACAGAGAGAAGCACTATTCTCCTTTATTGCTTTCAATTCACTAGAAGCTCTGAGATTTTAATGGCTTATATCCAGGCTTTTGAGTTCAGTTCAGTTTTTGAAGAGTCCAGGAGAACCTTGGTATCTCCAAACATTTGTAGAATATAAATAACTTTTCCAAGCCGTATGCTGCTGTTTTGAGAGATTCATGGTTGATCTCATGGAATCAGTATTAAATCGGGCTTCCAGGTTTAACAAGTAGACATTCTGAGTATGTTTAATGCAAGCAGGATAAATTACTGAAGCAGTACCTCGTCATTTTTCTTTTTTTGGTCATTTTTCTTAATAGTTGATTCTTCCTGTTGCCCTCACTACTTAAAGGCTATCTTATTGGCCACGATTTAGTGCTATTCATAGTAGGGGGATCCCAATTTCTCTGAAAGAGTTCTAATAGAAAATAATATTCTATTACAAACTGAAGCACTTTCTCTGGACATCTGTCTGACCTCTGAAACAACGTCAGTACAGATATCTTCCTTGACTAAACACTTGCATAATTTCCTTTTATGCTTAGAAAAGACAAGTTATTTTGAGATTGTTACTTTTACTGTGCACTCATTCCCATTCAGAGCAAATCAAGCTCCTCTGCAGAGCTTCTCCTACCAAAGCTTTCTTTATCTTTATTATGCTTTTAGTTGTATTACTGTTATTCATACACTATAGATAGAATCTGAGGAAGCTACTGCTGTGAGGAACTATAGACATCATATTAAAAACCCCTGCATTTCACCTGGAAACTCAAGGAATAAAGATACTTACTGGTATGTCTTACAGTATTTCAGCACTTTTTTTCTGAGATGCAGAGATTCAAGTTTATTTAAACAGTTTCTTTGAGATGTAATTCACAAGCCATAAATTTCAGGGATTTAAATGTACAATTATATTTAATTAGATGTACATGTATAATTGATACAAATTTATGCACATAAAAGTACAGTGATTTCATATAGGGAGGTGGTTTAGTGAATCTTCCCAGAAAAGGTGTGTGATGTAAATTTTGAAAAATTTGTACATATTATCTATGGTAGAATGTTATCTGAAGAGCCAGAAGTAGGCAAAACAGCATACAGAAAATATGAAGGGGACCAAGGTTTTGTATTTGTAAAACTGCACATTTTTCTGACTAGTGGAACCTTCATGGATGGTGGAAGCAACGCTAGCAGAGGAGGCTGGAGAGTTAGTGAGGTAGGCAGGATTTTGGAAACTTGTAGGCAGTTGAACACAACCAGGTAATGTTATTGAGAATAGTTCTTTTCTCAGAATATATCAACGGGGAGTTCAGGTTTGACCAGCATGACATGTCTGCCACTCTGTGTCTCCAGATCTTGGGGATGATAAAGGACGAGCTAGGGGAATGCTGCAAGAAGACAGATGAGCTCCTTTGTGACACAGCCAAGATCTTAGCAGGTACACGGGAGGGCTCTGCTCACCGTGGGTGGGGAGGTTCCTGCCGTGCCCTCTGAGAACTCTGACAGGATGAACTTCTGGAACTTCTGTGAACATGCTCTGCTTCATCTGAAAATAAGGTGGCTTGTGGTTTTAGGTCCAGCCAACCAGTCGTTCCCAAATCTGCACATTCCTAAACTTGCGCTTGATATGTGGTCACAGGTGAATATAGCCATGGCCATCTCCTTTTTCCACAATAGTTTGGTCAATGGAAAGTGAAGGTTTAGTGGGTAGAGGAGGTTGTACCTCTCAGGACTGACCGTTGTTTTCTTTCCTCTCTAAAATCTTCTTGAATGAGCAGAATGCCCTGAAGGAGAGCCATCTGAGAGGGAAAAGGAGCTTCTTGAGCAAAAGTATAAGGAGATAAGTCAAAAGGTGGAGGACCAAAAAAAAGACTTTGAAGAATTTGCAGGCAAAATGATAGAGGAAATAGGAAAAAGACAAAAGATTTCAGCAGGTACATGAATGGGCTCAGCACACAATGCGGTGGGGACGTTCCTGCAGTGCCCTTGAGGAGTGTGATGGGAGGGACTTCCAGAAGCAGGGAGCTTCCTGCCCTGTGTGAAAGTATTCTGTTACGTCAGAAAATAACAACGCTGGTTGTGGCTGTAGGTCCAGCCCGACAGTCAGGGATTTTCCTAGGAGATTCCCCACTCTGCCGTTGGTGTGTGAACACTAGTGAATCCAGACATTTCCATCTGCTTTTTCACGACAGTTTGATCACTGAGAAATTGGACAGTTGTGGGGGGAGGGGTGTGGTGTGTGAAGGGTGACAACTCTCAGACCTAACTGCTGTTTCCTCATCTCTCTAACATCTTCCTGGAACAGAAGAACGAGCCAAGAGAGAGGCAGCTGAGAGGGAAAAGGAGCTTCTTGAGCAAAAGGTTAAAGAGCTGCAGGAACAGCTGGAGGACCAAGAAAGGGTCTCTGAGGAATTTAGAGGCAAAAAGACAGAGAAGCAAAGAGAAAGAGAAACGACCTCAGCAGGTAAAGGGTGGACTCAGCTCATGGTAGGGTGGGGAGGTTCCTGCAGTGCCCTCCATGACTCCGACAGGAGGAACTTCCAGAAATAGGAGCTTCCTCTTCTTCTGTGAACACACTTTGCTACATCTGAAAATAACAAGGCGAGCTGTGGTTAGAGATCCAACCAGTCATCCCCTTTTCTAGCTCATTCTCACACCTGCCCCTGTGTGTGGTCACAGGTGAATTTAGACATGTCCATCTGCTTTGCCCAGACAGATTGATTACTCAGAAAGCAAGGGTTGTTGGTTGTGGGCTTGTAGCTCTCAGTGCTGACTGTTGTTTTCTTCTCTCTCTAAAATCTTCTGGAAGCAGAAATGCTGGTCCAATGGAAGATTGCTAAGTGGCAAAAGAAGCTTCTTGAGCAAAAGGTTAAAGAATTGCAGCAAAAGTTGGAGGACCAAGAAAGAAACTTCAAGAGATTTAGAGTCATACTCACAAAGGAGATGAAAGAAAAAGACGACCTTCTGAGAAAGATGAATGAGAGGATTCAGATGCTGGAGGTATATCTGGTCTGGGTCTGGGCAGTGACTTTGGAACAAAGCCTGCACCCTCAGGAAGGGATGGGTGAAAAATAAAACAAAGTCATAGAGAGAAGTACCATTGTTCTTCACTGCTTCTAACTCATTGGAAGCCCTGAGTTTTAAACCAGATTCTTTAACAATTTAAGTTAAACTTCAAGTTTCAAGTTCTTACACAGTTTTATTGAGTTATAATTCATAAACCATAAATTTCAAATGTTGAAAATGTATAATATCATTGATACAAATTTACCAAAGTATGTACAGTGATTTCACTTGGGGAATGTGCTTTATGGAATGTTCCTGGAAGAAGAGTGTGGTGTAAAATTTGAAAATTTGTACATATTATCTGAGGTCAGATGTTACCAGAAGGGTTGCAAGCAGTAAAATACAGCCTATGAAAAATGTGAAGCAACATAGGAATGTTACTCAGAGGAGCTGATTTCTCAGAATATTTCAGTGGAAGTTCAGCACAGGTTAGACCTGCCTGACATATTTTTGCCTCTTTCTGATCTCCAGCGCTTACTGAGGTTACCAGAAAAACTAGAGGAACAGGACATGAAGAAAGGTGAGTTCCTTTGTGATGCAGGAAAGAAACCTAGCAGGTAGAGCAGGTAGAGAGGAGAGCTTAGCTCCCAGTGGGGTGGGAAGGTTTCTGCAGTGCCCTCTCAGACTCTGACAGGAGGAAATTCCAGAAGCTGGGAGCTCTCCTTCTGGGAATGCACTCTGCTTCATCTGAAAAAACAAGGCTAATTGTGGTTGTTGGTCCAGTCACTCAGTCAGGGCCTTTCCTAGAAGATTCCCAACCCTGCCCTTGTGTGTGGTCACAGGTGTATTTAGACACGTCCATCTCCTTTTACATGACAGTTTGGTCACTGACAGAGTGGAGGGCTGTACCTCTCGGGGTTGACTGTTGTTCTCTTCCTTTTCTAAAATCTTCCTGGAGCAGAAGAGCAGGCCAAAAGAGAGGCAACTGAAAGGGAAAATGAGCCTCTTGCGCAAAAGGTTAAAGAATTGCAGCAAAAATCGGAGAACCAAGAAAGAGTCTTTGAAGTATTACGGGTCAAATGACAGAGGAGTTGAATGAAAGAAAGAAAGCCTCAACAGGTACAGGGGAGGGCTCCTTTCACAGCGGGGTGGGGATGTTCCTGCAGTGCCCCCTGAGACTCTGACAGGAGGGAATTCCTGAAACAGAGAGCTTCCTCACCTCCTGTGAACACATACTGCTTCATCTGAAAATAACAGAGTTGTGGTTGTAGGTCCAGCCCACCAGTCAGGGCCTTTCTTAGCATGTTCCTAGGTGTATGTGGTATGGAGGAGGAAATGGCAACCCACTCCGGTATTCTTGCCTAGAGAATCCCATGGACAGGGGAGCCTGGTGGGCTGCTGTCCATAGGGTCGCACAGAGTCGGACATGACTGCAGCAACTTAGCATGCATGCATGCTTGCATTGGAGAAGGAAATGGCAACCCACTCCAGTATTCTTGCCTGGAGAATCCCAGGGACAGAGGAGCCTGGTGGGCTGCCATCTATGGGGTGCCACAGAGCCGGACACGACTGAAGCGACTTAGCAGCAGCAGCAGCAACAGGTGTATGTGGACATGTCTACTTACTTCTTTGGGACAGTTTGGTCCCTGAGGATATGGAGGGTTGGGATTTGGGGGGTTGTAGCTGCCAGGTCTGACTGTTGTTTCCTTCCTTCTCTAAACTCTTCCTGGAGCAGAAGAGCAGATCAAAAGAGAGGCCAGTGAGAGGGAAAAGGAGTCTCTTGAAAAACAGGTTGAAGAATTGCAGCAAAATTTGGAGGACCAAGAAAGAGTCTTCCAGAGATTAAGAACTGAACTGACAGAGGAGATGAGAGAAAGTGAAAAGACCTCAGCAGGTACAGGGGAGAGCTCATTTCACAGTGGGGTGGGGAGGTTCCTGCAGTGTCTCTCTGAGAACTCTGACTGGAGGAACTTTCAGAAGCAGGGCCCTTCTTTTCCTTTTCTGAACACACTCTATTACCTATGAAAACAACAGGTCAGTTATGGTTGTGGGTCCAACCAGCTAGTCAGCACCTGTCCTAGCACACTCTCACACCTGCCCTTGATGTGTGGTCACAGGTGAATTCAGACATGCCCATCTGCTTTTTTCAAAGAAAGTATGGTCACTGAGAAAGTGGCGGGTTGGGGATTGGGGATTGTACCTCTGACTGTTGTTTTCTTCCCTATGTATAATTTTCCTGGAGCAGAAAAGCAGGCTAAAAGAAAGGCTGCTGAGAGGGAAAAGAAGCTTTTAGAGCAAAAGCTTAAAGAATTGCAACAAATGTTTGAACACCAAGAAAGAGCCTTCAAGGCATTTAGAGTCCAAATAACAGAAGAGGTGAGAGAAAGAGACAGCTTTCTGAGAAAGATGAATGAGAGGATTGAGATGCTGGCGGTGAGTCTGGTCTGGGTCTGGGCAGTGACTGTGGAGCAGAGTCCTGGAAACTCAGGAAGGGATGGGTGAAAATTAAAGCAGTGTTGTAGAGAGAAGCACCATGATTCTTTACTGCTTTAGATTCCTAGAAACCCTGGGATTTTAATGGTTTGGACACTTGAGTTCTGTTCATAGTGAGTTTGTCAAGAGTCCAGGAAGACCTTGATACTTTAAAGAATTTATAGACTATAGACAATTTTCCCAGGGTTTGTGCTGCTGTTTTGAGGGATTCCTGGTTGATCTCTAGACTTTTCCTGGAGCCAATATTAAGTGGGGTTCCCAGGGCTGGCAGGTGGATGTTCTCAGAAGCAGATATTGGTTCACTTTACTAAGCTTCCTGCCAGTTTTCAGACTGCTACTACATCCAAAGACCCTGATATAGATCCTTGCTAACCTAAAGTGTTCAAATATGCACAGACTTAGACATATGGGCAACTGCCAGCTCCTAATTTGGCTGCAGCTGTCTCCAGGTGAATTTAAACTGCCAGAGTCAGCCTTCAGTAGAGGAGATGTTCTATCCTCTCCCATCTGGAATTATTTATATCAGTTTTCTCGATCAGCTTAGGAGTTCTCAGTATTTCTAAGATGTGGAGAGAATTTGTGCCATTCACAAGGAAGGCCCTCACCCAAATAGCATAAATGTGGCTGAAATGTCTTATAACAATTGTCCTCATGCCTGGTTAGGACTGTAGGGAAACCCTAGTAATGGGTATGAGTAAGTTTGTGCTAATGCATCCTCTCACCATCCAAACCTAAACCAGGAGATATTTCTGATGAGCATAATAACTTCTCATGATCCTTTAAGAAAGAACTCTTTAAAAGAAAACAAATTGTTAATGGAAAACCTTGTTTTTGAAATATTGAGATTTTGGAAAGGTTTCTGTTTACTAACACATCATACATTTTCAGGCTGCAGTGAACAATGATAATGACAAGGATAATGAGGAAAACACTGGAAAGGACTGTACGTCATAGACACAGGAAGATAATGACAAAGAAAATACTTTACAGCCCTCGCTCTGTATAATGGGCTCCAGTTTCATCCATCTCATTAGGACTGATTCAAATGAATTCTTTTTAATGGCTGAGTAATATTCCATGGTGTATATGTACCACAGCTTCCTCATCCATTCGTCTGCTGATGGAAGTAAGCCAGAAAGATAAAGACCATTACAGTATACTAACACATATATATGAAATTTAGAAAGATGGTAATGATAACCCTATATGCAAAACAGAAAAAGAGACTCAGATGTATAGAACAGACTTGTGGACTCTGGGAGAAGGCGAGGGTGGGATGTTTCAAGAGAACAGCATTGAAACATGTATATTATCTAGGGTGAAACAGATCACCAGCCCAGGTTGGGTGCATGAGACAAGTGCTCGGGCCTGGTGCACTGGGAAGACCCAGAGGGATCGGGTGGAGAGGGAGGTGGGAGGGGGGACCGGGATGGGGAATACATGTAAATCCATGGCTAATTCATTTCAATGTATGACAAAAACTACTGTAATGATGTAAAGTAATTAGCCTCCAACTAATAAAAATAAATGGAAAAAAAAAAAAAAAAAGAAAATACTTTACAGCCTTTTGTTTTAGTCTCAGTTTGGGAGAAGATAAAACATGTATGGTCACAAATTACTCAGATATTTTGTTTGTTTCTTTTGAATTCTGGTAATATTAAAAGTTTTCACAAGTGCTTTTTTGATCTGGATTATTTTTATTTATGTATGTACTTTTTCTTTTATCATTAAAGTTTTAATGTAAAAAACAGGAAAATCATCTACTATAGTAGATCAGTTCCTGGCCCACAAAGGAAAGAATTAGTGTGGCTGGATAGTTAATTTAAGTGGAAATGAAGCAACTGAGGAGAAGACAAAGAGAAGGTCAATTTTGTGATCTCTTGAAAAAAAGAAAAATTTTATTAAGTAATGCTTCTGAAAGTCACATATGAATAACTATACAAATGAATATGTATACTGTTTTCTTGAGAGGAAAGGACTAATTTCTTATACAAAACAGTTGTGTTACTTCACCTGTAAATTTTATGTGTTTTGAGTTAAAATTTCACAAAAGCTGATTGTAAATTTTAAATTGAGCTGATCAAACACATTAAAAAGCCATGAAAATTCAGAAGGGGTATAGGGTTTGGGAAGTTTTCAGCCATAATTTCTTTTATAAATGAAGTTTATAGAACTGCAGTCATTAGAACAATGTGCCATCAAGGCAGAAATATGAAGACAATAACAGCATGCTACATAGTCTAAAAATAGAACCAACAACATACCTGATTAAAGTTATGTGAATAGTGTTGTTTCAGATCAGTGAGAAAATATAAACAGTACATGAAGTGTTGTCAGTCTACTGGACAGCCATATAGAATGAGAGTGACTAGATCACTTATAAATCTTGCATGAAGAATATTCCAGCTTGACTTTAGATTTAAACATTAAAAATAATCTTGATGAAAAAGGTAAATGTCAGATAATTATAAAATAAATGTGGAAACTTGAATTTATTTGTAAGTGACATAAAACTCAAAGATACACCTTTTATCATTTTGATATCCTCTTTTATTTTATTTTATTTTCCATTTATTTTTATTAGTTGAAGGCTAATTACTTTACAATATTGTAGTGGGTTTTTTCATACATTGACATGAATCAGCCATGGAGTTACATGTATTCCCCATCCTGATCCCCCCTCCCACCTCCCTCTCTCCCCGATCCCTCTGGGTCTTCCCAGTGCACCAGGCCCAAGCACTTGTCTCATGCATCCCACCTGGGCTGGTGATCTGTTTCACCCTAGATATACATGTTTCGATGCTGTTCTCTCAGATCATCCCACCCTCGCCTTCTCCTACAGAGTCCAAAAGTCTGTTCTGTACATCTGTGTCTCTTTTTCTGTTTTGCATATAGGGTTATCATTACCATCTTTCTAAATCCCATATATATGTGTTAGTATGCTGTAATGTTCTTTATCTTTCTGGCTTACTTCACTCTGTATAATGGTCTCCAGTTTCATCCATCTCATTAGAACTGATTCAAATGAATTCTTTTTAATGGCTGAGTAATAGTCCATGGTGTATATATACCACAGCTTCCTCATCCATTTGTCTGCTGATGGGCATCTAGGTTGCTTCCATGTCCTGGCTGTTATAAACAGTGCTGCGATGAACATTGGGGTGCATGTGTCTCTTTCAGATATGGTTTCTTCAGTGTGTATGCCCAGGAGTGGGATTGCTGGGTCATATGGCAGTTCTATTTCCAGTTTTTTAAGAAATCTCCACACTATTCTCCATAGCGGTTGTACTAGTTTGCATTCCCACCAACAGTGTAAGAGGGTTCCCTTTTCTCCACACTCTCTCCAGCATTTATTGCTTGTAGACTTTTGGATAGCAGCCATCCTGACTGGCGTGTAATGGTACCTCATTGTGGTTTTGACTTTCATTTCTCTGATAATGAGTGATGTTGAGCATCTTTTCATATGTTTGTTAGCCATCTGTATGTCTTCTTTGGAGAAGTGTCTGTTCAGTTCTTTGGCCCATTTTTTGATTGGGTCATTTATTTTTCTGGAGTTGAGCTTCAGGAGTTGCTTGTATATTTTTGAGATTAGTCCTTTGTCTGTTGCTTCGTTTGCTATTATTTTCTCCCAATCTGAGGGCTGTCTTTTCGCCTTGCTTATACTTTCCTTTGTTGTGCAAAAGCTCTTAAGTTTCATTAGGTCCGATTTGCTTATTTTTGCTTTTATTTCCAATATTCTGGGATGTGGGTCATAGAGGATCCTGCTGTGATTTATGTCGGAGAGTGTTTTGCCTATGTTCTCCTCTAGGAGTTTTATAGTTTCTGGTCTTACATTTAGATCTTTAATCCATTTTGAGTTTATTTTTGTGTATGGTGTTAGAAGGTGTTCTAGTTTCATTCTTTTACAAGTGGTTGACCAGTTTTCCCAGCACCACTTGTTAAAGAGGTTGTTTTTTTTCCATTGTATATCCTTGCCTACTTTGTCGAAGATAAGGTGTCCATAGGTTCATGGATTTATCTCTGGGCTTTCTATTCTGTCCATTGTGATATCCTCTTTTATATATTCATGTTTATCATTTTGTTGTTCATTTTTGTTGTCACCACTTTCACAGAAACTTTTTTGATTTTTAAAACTCTGTGTATTTGCTTAAGTGATTTACTTTCCTGTTGTGATTTTCTCTTTCCTATAGATTCTTGTTTCTTTTCTATTTAGAGAAGATCTTTCAATATTTCTTTTAGGATAGGTTTAGTATTTCTGCAGCTTTTGTTTATCTGAGAAATTATCTCTCCTCCTGTTCTAAATGGTAATTTTACTGGGTAGAGTATCCTAGGTTGCAAGTTTTTCCCTTTCAGGACTTTGAATATATCTTTCAATTCCCTTCTGGCCTGCAAATTTCTGTAGAAATTTTCTGTAGAGAAAATTTTCTGTAGAAATTTCTGTAGAGAAATCAGCTGATAGACTTACCAGAGTGCCCTTGCAATTAACTCTTTGCTTTCTCTTGCTTCCTTTAGAATCCTCTCTTTAATATTTTGCCATTTCAATTTTAACATGTCTAGATCTGTTTGGGTTCATCTTGTTTCTTCATTTTACTTATCTGCTTCTTCATTTTACTTATATTTTTCTGACTCTTTGAATTTAGGAGTAAGAGCACTGTTACTCCTAGGGAAGTAACTATTTGCAGGGAAGCATGGTTCCTGTACCTGGATATCTGTTTCCTTTTTAGGCTTGGGAAGTTTTCAGCCATAATTTCTTCAAATACATTTTTGATCCCCTTTTCTCTTCTCCTCTGAGATCCCTATTATGTGTCTATTGGGATACTTTATATTATCTTATGCTTGCTTTCATTTTTCTTAATTTATCTTTCAATTTGCTGTTCTGATTGGGTGATTTCTGTTTTGTCTTCCAGAGCACTTATTCATTCCTCTGCATTATCCAATTTGCTATTTGTTGTCTTTAACTCCGATTTCATCTCTGCAAATGAGTTTTCTAATTTCAGTTAACTCCTCTTTATAGTTGCTTGTTCCTCTTTACAGTAATTTGCAATTCTATCTATAGCCTTTCTTAATTCCTTCAGTATTTTCACTGATCCTTTTTGAACTCATAATCTGATATACCAGAGAAGTTTGTTTCATTGTTTGGTTTTTGAAGGGAATTCTCTTCCCTTCAAAAAATTACTTCCCTAGAAGTAACAGTGCTCTTAAGCCTAAATTCAAAGAGTCAGAAAAATGTAAGTAAAATGAAGAAGCAGTCAAGAGAATCAAGAAAATTCAAAAAATCAGAATTCTTTTATTTTGATAAAAAAATCAAGAGAATTCTCTTCAAAGAACAAACTGTTATCCATTGTGCTCTTGTGGGCTTCCTAGATGGCACTAGTGGCAAAGAATCCACCTGCCAATGCAAGAGATGCTAGAGACGCTGGTTCAATCCCTGGGTTGGGAAGATCCCTTGGAGAAGGAAATGGCAACCCACTCCAGTATTCTTGCCTGGAAAATCCCATGGACAGCGGAGCCTGGTTGGCTTCAGTGCATGGGATTGCAGAGTTGGACACGACTGAGCACAAGCATGTGCGTGCGTGCACACACACACACACACACACACACACACTGTGCTCTTGAAGAACTGTTTTTACATGGACGGTGTCCCTGTGTGACCTACATGAATCTAGTAATTTTGGTGTGTGGACTGTGTTTTTTGGTGGGTTTTTTTTTTTTTTTTGGTATAGATACCTACTATATCATTCCTCAGTGTGTGCTGGCTGTTATCCTGTTGATAGTATATCTAATAAAGGTCTATAAAATTGGAAGGGAAACATATTAACAGGTCTTGGAATAGCCAGTATCCCTTTCCATTTGACCTTTTAGTAGCCAGAGAGGAAGTGTTGCATGTGCTAGAAGTAGGAACCAGGAGTCCCTTATCTAGTAATCCCTGAATTATTGGGCAGAGTCCTTCAAGTTCCTCTGGTGTTAAATAATCTTGGGAAATCTTAGGGAGGGGCATGGATAGATCTACATTTACCTACTATAGCACTCTATTATGGAGTTCTGCACCACATAAATGCCAGATAATAGTG